TCAAAAAAAGTGCCAATGAAGGTGAATGCAGCAGAATATATTTTGGGAGCTAAGAAAACGTACAATAAAAGTTGTGCAAATGCCACTAACAAGGTAACATTTACAGTCGTGTCTTAATACTGTTTGATATTTACTGTCCACGTCCACACTTGTAAATAAGGACTATCACCTATCATTTGAGCAGGTTCTTGTCAGAGCAATTTCTCTTAAAAATTGTCAGTTTATTGTCAGAGCAATTTCTCTTAAAAATTTACACATACAGATCCCTTATGACAAATAGTAATGATGGTACTCATGCTCATTCATGAGTTTGTGTTAAAGAATCAGGCCAGCAGATTCCTCACTCTCACCCACACACAGAGATACCCGCAGACAAAAGGACTACAAGTATTTCACAGATTAGAATCAAAAAAGAAAAGTGACCTTGGGAAAAGAATTTTCTCCCTTGGTGGGAAAACCAAGGGAGGCTGTAACGTTGCAATGGCCATTTACGTACTTGAGCCAAAAGGTAGGGAACATTTTATTATAGTGATTGTAGCAGCCAGCCTGGTCAAAAATAAAGGGATAAGTTGAAGCAAAGAAGATTTAGTTTAGATATTAGGAAAAAAAACATTGTAGTGGAAGATTGTCTGGAGTGACCCTGCAGCCCCCAAGCCAACGTCCGTACAAACAAACCCCATTTATTTGTACACAGGTCACTTGAGGACTCCACAGTCTGGAACAGCACGAGGAGGGGGAGCCCAGCCTCAGAGGGATCGCCCTCTCTTCCCCTCTGCCTCTTTGATATTGGAACCTCAGCCTCTCTTCAACTCACGGGAGAAAAAGCATGACTCTGTTCAGCACAGTCAGATCAAAAGGCAGATTGGTATGATTCACAACCACTAAGTAACTTGCTTAAATGAATAGTGGACACAGAGTATGTTCAAAGAAATCGTTGATAATTTCCCTGGAACATCTTGTGATTAAAACCTTATGTTATATAGGTCCCTACAGCTATTAACTTGATCTTAGCAAAATTCCCGTTGTATGCACCAAAGTTAGTAAGTCCAGTGTTAGTTCTATGCACAACATCTCTAGCTAGAAGGGACATTAAAAATATGGTAATATAAAGTCTAAATTCAAACAGCTGTTAATCAATTAGCATAAAGATAAATAATTGGAAGACTCACAAACAAATCACTGGTCATTCCGAACTCCTTGTTCCAGATACTTAAAGAAAACAACCTTCCCTCACTTTAGTTGTCTGCTTCAGCTTTATCATTTTTTTAATAAATAAACACCCTAAATGAATTCCTATAGGTGTCATTTTCTGGAACTATTTTTTGCCCTCCTATTTGTTATTTACTGGGGGACTACTTGGCATTTGTGTCTCAGGATTTCAAACGATATTAGGGGGTGCAATTTGAAAAAAGCAATTCTAGATATTTGGTAATAATCACTTTCTAGCTGCAAAAATGTCACTGTTGGGTTTTAAAGGGCCAGCCACATTCGAGCTTGTCTGATTTTGGGGGTTTTGATTCCAACTCTGCACAGCCATGGCCAACAGTCTGTCAATCCACCAGCTGCATTCAGCCTCTCTTGCTCTTAATTACTCAGTTCCCCAGTTCTCCTTCCTTGTCGGTTCTGTTCTGGTCACCACAATTAATTCCCATTTCTTACTCCTGTATTCACCTACAGCTTATTAATTTTTGGCCACTCTCCACTACTGTTTCAGCTCAGCATTTAGCAATTTCTCTCATTACTTGTTAAGGACTTTTTCTACCCTCTTTGGTTTTGTAGGGTTGAAGAAGAGTTTTTAACTGCACTTTACAAAAGAATGGGTGAATATTTTGCTGTTGTCAGGTAGATGGCAGGGAAGCTCCTGTCTCTCCCACTGGCCGTTCTCCTTCTCAGGCTGTTCTGGGAGCACAAAATGTTCTCGAGGGTGCAGAAACACCACCAAACACTTCCTTCCCCTGTAGGTTTAAGAGCTGTTTTATGGACAAGGATGCATGAAGAGAGAGACTGCCTGATGAATCCCAACTCGCAGATGGAAGTTCCCAGCTCCAAGTGGTTATTTTAATGGATATTACAATTAATAACCCCCAACGGAGGGTGTTTTCAGCTTCCTGGGCAGAGCCAGGAAGCACTGATTGATGGCTCTTCCCCAGGAGACAAGAAATGTGGTCCCTTCAGACTGGCTTTCTCTCAGTCCTTGTGGCCTCACTCAGACTTGTGGCCTCACTGAAATTCCTGATGGGTATATCATTGTGTAACCGAAGTCATGCTTCAGCTGTTTGGTAGTTGTACAAACACGCCTTAATCTGAGTTAATCTTAATTCTTGGAAGTGGGTCTTTATATAAATTTGGAAACAAACATTTAGCTTTTCTCTGCGGGAAAGTAAAAGGAAGTTTGTGCCTACTTGGAGTTTCCAGTGCCAGTATTGTTATCACTGGCAGATGGCAGCGATCAGGTGAAGCACCAAAAGATTGCAAACCCTTTAAAAATCAACTGGTTGCAGGATAGATTTTGTTTGGGCCAAATTCACTCACGTAACAGTGGAGTTGCATCACTTGAAACTAAGCTCAAATGAAACCTTATACATCTCTCTGACTACCTTGAAATCCTTATTAGTAATGCATATTTTTACTTTACGGACAGTGTGTTAAATCCTGTATAAATACAGGGAAATACAGCTATTCAATAGAGACTTCATATTTATTGAAAGGAAAGAAGTAGAATAAGTACAAAGTGATTTGAAAAAAAAAAAAAAAAAAAAAAAAAAAGAAAAGTATTTCTTAGGGTAAAGTTGCATGAACTACCTAATGCGTGAATTTGAAACTTTAGTTATTCAAAGAGAGTGATTGTTCAAAGCAGACACTGGTATCTAATTAGTTAACTCAGGCGAATCAGGCAATATACCAGCTGATGCAATTGGTGGCAGCAGGAGTTTGGAAATAAATATCTCTATCTGGCACTGCGAAGTGATACAGAGCTCAAATTTCTGTGGATTGCCTGGCCCCAAGTTCATGCCTCAGAGCTCGCATTTCTGTGGTAAAGGAAAATTAAATCTCAGCGTTTAAGATCTGGGGTTCAATGTGACTATTTATTAAAATTCATCCGGCCTCCCTAGCCTGTGAATATTTTGAGTTGACCTAGATGGAGCTCTTGATGAAATCAAGCTCTCATGGGGCATTCCCAGTGTTTTCTGATAAAAGCTTAGTAGAATTGTGCTAACAAAACCTAAGACACTTTAAAGCAGTGACTATCATCCTAGCTAAAATCCAGAAACACGGTGCCATGTGCTAACAAAGAACAAACAAAAAAATCCCAAACCTCCAGAAACCCCAGCTGAGCAAAACCCGGGGAACAGTCACTCATGGCAATTTACCATGTTTTGTCCTGCTTTCATTCAGGCTCCCTCTTTGGAGTCGCTGCAGCCAGGGCTCCAGCAGCACCAGGCCACTGGCAGAGCCCGCAGAGAAGCCAGCGCTCCCTGCAGAAGGCAGCTCAGCTCCCTCTGCCCTCCGCTGCTCCCCCCAAGAACCCTGGCCCAAGCGGCAACAGCTCAGGTAGGCACCCGACGTTAAATGAGATGACTCTGGCATTAACGTATGCAAATTTATTCTCTGATTGTGTCTCTGACTGTTCCACTTTGTATGGGGGGGAGGGACGGGGATGGGGACGGGGAAGGGTGTGCATTTTTAGGTTTGGTAGTCCCTCTGAAACAAGATTCCTGTTTCTCAATATCAAACCAAAGTCAGTGTGACAGATGGTACCAGAGCTGGCTGTCCTGAGTCTATCCTGTGCATTGCTAAAAAGGCATGTTTGTCCTATGCTCCCTACGATGCCCTGGAGTTACCAGCATTTTGTCACTTGACTTAGTTCCCATCACCACTCTTCTACCCAGAGATTCTGCTTACTATCCTTACATCACCTCTATCAGTCAAGAGCGCTATTTCTTAGGCCAAGCAGAGATTTCTGGTTCCAGCTCAGTTTAGCTTCAGAAGCTCCAGATCCGCTGTCTCATGGGCATACACTAAACCTACACGTGCTCCTAAACCTGTCAATAGGTCCCTGTGTGAGTAACCTTAGCAGTAGACAAACACCAGCACACCTGAATAAAGCCCTTGAATTCAAATGACAGCCTCCTGCGTTCCCACCCAAGGTTTCCTCTACAGACAGTATCCTTAGCACTCCCAAACCACAACCTTTTCAGCTTAAGATGCTGCGTTGTATCACTAGTGACAGCAGGGAGAAAGAAACACTGTCCTTCCTATTTAGCAAGCATACGCTTGTGTTCTGAGCCAGCTTTGTCCATGTCCGTTCCTAAGGAAATGCAGTTCGGTCGATCCGGTCTTGGGCAGCGACTGAATCGCTTTGCAGGCTGCGCTACTGCAGGCAGTTCTAGCTTAAAGAGAGGTTTGCTTATGTGATGGTGAGCAAGCTGGAAAGGTCTCTCTGCTGCTAGCTTGATAAAAAGAAAATAAAAAGTAAATGATTATCAATAAAGTGTGTTTGATTAGGTGTCACTAAGAGAAAGAAAAGGCCATTTCATGTCACTTTTTAGAAAGCACAAGGTGTGTAACTTTTTGGGGATGATTTTGCTCTTGACTAATCTTCAGATTCAATATTAAAATCTCAAACTTCCCAAAGGAAAGAGATTCTGCATCTTTTAATGAAAGATAAAACAACAATATAAACATACACAAATTTACAGAGAAAGGATCAACTTTAATACATCTGGAGTAAAAGGTGTTATTTTTTAAATATGGTATAAAAATAAATGCAAGAAACATTAACAGAGAATATACAGACAACAGACAAAGACACAGGCTTTCTTTCTCAATGTGAATACATCAGTGAAATGAAACCTTCTGTGCTAATTTATTGTGCAATAAATGTGATGCCATATGTATATTTATTAATATATGCATTTTTTACATTTCTTCCAGTTTTTGATTGACGTATTTTTTTTTTTAATAAACTGTGCCTAGCAGAAGCTTTTTTTTCACTGTACTTGAGCTTGCAGAAAATAAAAAGACACAGATCCAGCTTGATATGAAGGAGGAAGTGAGCAGACAGTTTTCAAAATGGAGGCATCGAAAGGCTAGAGAGTCCCTCGGAGTCTGTAATGCCTTAGTATACACAAAAGAAAACAAGTCAGGTCCTTGCTCATGCAACATCTTGTTCTACTGTCCTCTGAGTCAGGCAATCAGTGAGCTACAAAGTATGTATAATGATTTGAGTCTGCTTCCATGCTACAAGGTGATCCTTTTAGTAGGACTGCACTAGACTGGTTAACCTCTTTGATGTGAGCGATTTCCCCTGAGGAAAAGATAAAAACAAAAAAACAAAAACAGAAAACAGAGGCATGATCACTGCAAACCTGTTCATCAGCAACCACTTAGTGTTGCCACATCACTGTCAAATAACTAGGGGCACCAACTGGAGTCTGTCAAATCTTAAACCACAGGAAGCCCTTACACTTAAACACCTGCACTGCCAGCCAGCCAGATTGTTTCACAGGATACACCAGCAAATTTGAAGGCCATTTTTGAATGAGATTGGTTTTGGCTGATGAGAAATTAACGCTGAGGTTTTTGCTGTCAGTCATACCCAGAACTTGAAGAAGGCTGCTACGAGCGAGAGCGCCTTGTGCTACAAAGATGAATGTGCAAACTGCGGTAGCTCTGTCACAGAAGACAAAAAGCTACTTTAGAGTTAAGGTGAGAAAGTAAGAGGCAGATTGCTATAGATAGGAAAGCAGCTGTTTCATGAACGCGGCTATCGGTTTGCTGAGACCGTATTTATTATTTATGAGGAACACTGGTCAGGTGTATTACATGCGACTGCTTAACACTGCTTTGAAGGCATTTGGATTTACACATTGTTATCTTCCTCATCGTTCTTCCCGTTGCAAGGATGCGGTTTCAGTTTTTTAGCAAGTTCTTTTAATAAGGTATAATGCCTGTCCCACGAGAGTTCGGCCTACAGTGTGAAGAGGATGGCACAGGGTATGACACCGTGGTATATTTCAGGCAGATTTGAGCTTTATCTAAGCCAGACAAAAGCCATGAAACCACATAACAGGAATTAGCTCCCCTAAGGGCACGTAAAAGGAGCTAGGTCTCCTAGGGACATGCTACCGTGGCTCTGATCCAGAAGAGGCAGAGCTGGCACAGCAAGCTTACATTACGCCTCAAAATACCACAGGCATACCCTGATAATGTAACACAAATAGACCATAAAACATCAGATAGGAAGTGGCTCTGTCTAACTCTCCAGCTGGATATTTCTTACATTTATTGCATTGGTCATTTTAAGTGCACAACTCAGAAAAATGAAACTGTTTTCAAGAAGACTACAGTAAGAAATACTGTAACTATGGAGAGAGGCTACATTTTCTGCAGTAAATGGTAAATGAACTTATTCTGCCATATGAATGAATTGTTAAGTCATCTACTGTATTATAACTCAGTGGAATTACACGATTTAATATCTATTGTCATTATCAATTAAATTTATGCTCACAGGGATCTGCAAGTTGGTTTCTAGCATTTGCTCAAATGCAATATATCAGAGTGGGTCTTCACAAAAGGAAGAATAACCATTTTATTCTTTGTGCTCCGAAATGTAAGTTGAACAAATTAGGATGAGTATTTCCCCTACAGTATAATTTTGAAGGGAACTCATGATCTGCAGTGTTGGGTTAGACTGCTCATCCATCAGGTTCACCATATCACCTGACAGTATTAATATTTGCTTCTTCGAAAGAAGGAAGGTGTCCTTCGTGGCACGCTCTCTTCCCTGTGTCTAGCTTTAACTCTGTCACTTTCTACCTACATTAAATTCACAGCTTCTTGACACTTGATAAGCCTTAAATTATGTTTTCCTCTAATGCAACAGGCAAGCTGTTATAGTAAGATGTCTCTTCTTTTTAAATAGTCAAAAAAGTCTCAACAGCTGTGTGGCACTGGAATACAATTTAAAACAGCATGTCCAAAATTAAGTGTTTTGTTAGGCAAGTCATGACTGTCAGCCCTGGACTTAATCTGGGAAAATATTGAGCATACACTTATCTTTGCCTTTCATTAAGTTATTTGTGCTTAATTTTACAGGTCTACGGGCCTGGCTACTTTCTGCAAATATGTGGAGTTCCCTTTAGTACTGAACTACATAAATTGTTTAATTAAAAAAAAAATGAAACCAGGAGTTCTTTATTAGTCATTACAACTATTTGCTCAATAGCACTTTAGAAAGCTGTGCAAGCTCTTGTGGGATAAAACCTATGAAAGAATTTTTTAGTCTTATCTGCAACAATTGATTATTTAGGAGTTGTAAATTCCCTAGAGTTTTTTAGATGAACTATAATCAAATTCTAGCATCTCAGGAATGAATTGTGATGTCACGTGAACTAGGAAGTTTTGACCTAAGAGGAGGCCAAAAACTAGTTGTTTGTTAGTTGATCTGACTTGTATAATCTCATTCTACCTGTTATTCGAATTTTCCCCTCTAAACACAGTGATCTGTCATGACTAATTTTTTCTGTATTCTACATCACTTGCTCCCTGGATATTGCTGGTCTTTGGGTAAGTTTTCTCCTAAGCCCTACAGTGATCGGGATTTCTCTGGATGGTATTCCACTCCACCTCCCCTCCCTGCCTCAGAGAGTATTACACTTCTTAAAGATATGAAGTCTCCATCTGAACAACAACAACACTTGCTCTTTTTCTACGGACTAATAGTTCTAATGTATCTTCTAGCTGGGAAAGTGATAGCTTAGAGGGTACACCCTCCTTAAGAGATCTTCTTCCATGTTTTTTCTGAAACATACTTAGTTCTCTGATTGGGAAAATAAGATTTTTATACACAGAATCCATAGCAGCTACAAAAACAGAATTATCCCGCCTTATTCAGATCTGCAGGGATTTGTTACTTTCCAGTTTGCAGAATATTTCTTTCAAACTCTGCTCTAGAGTATACTGTTACTTTAGCTCTATATGATAGGGTTTCGCAATTATCACTTCTAGGAGATTTCCAGATTTACTCAATTTACAGACTGATGTAAGGATCATCCCTTTCGGGTCATAATTTAAGAGCTGAGCCTAGCTATTTCTTTCTGATACAATGTTAATAGCATTTCCATAAGCCAAATTCTTATTTAGGAAACTACATCTCACAGGCCAGTTTTGAGAGGTGGAGCATATGAGTAGGAAAATGTTTCCTGTGCTAATGAGATTAAAGAATAATTGGAAGAAAAGTCAGATGAAGTAGTAGATGTTTGTTTGAAGAATAAAAAGGAGATCCTTAATATTTTAAATAAATTCTTGCCATCAACATTTAGAAGTATAGTGCCAAATTCTAAACAGGATTAGTTTTTTTCACTGTATTGGTGCACTTTGAACATAGGAATTAAAACTATTTAACAATTTTACTAATAATACACAAGCCAAAATGAAACCCCGCACACGCAACCTGACGAGGGAGTCAGAGTGTGAAGAAGCAGCACAGCAGCTGGAGTGAACAAGTACATCTAAGACTATGAAATCAATTTGCCTCGGTGTTTAGTCCCTATTTTAGTGTATGTTAACTGGTTAACATAGAGTTGTCCTTCCAACTGTACTTTTAGAGAATTTAGGGAAAAAATTACAAAACCATGTACAGATGTATGAGCTGCTAAATACAAATGTGCTGACCTATTTGTGCATCATGACACTAACACCTCAAATAATCTGGCAAACAAGTCAGAAACCACCTCAGTACATATGTGGTTTGCAAGAAATCAATATGAAATTTTCATGGGGGCTGGTGTTGAAATAGATGATAGAGGAAGATCAAGTCTTTTCATTTTAGAAGATTAATTCTCTTCCTTTCTGCTAAGCAACCTCAATGGCTCACTTTTTAATGTTTCTTTATTGCCAGCGCAGATGCTACTCCCCAGGACCGATACTGGTAGACCTAGAAATGAGAACTCCATGCACCTGACTGGGAAACAGAGAAACAGCGTGAACCCTGCTGTGAGCAAAATGAGCTGCAGAGTGAGAACTGACCCTCCTTGCTCTCACTGCTCCCCATCTGCTCATGTGCCACACACCTGCGGCACACCGGCAGCTCGGCGGCATCGGCAGGGAAAGCTCCCAGGTGACATCGCAGTGCAACACACACAGTCGGTATATAAGCAACCCCTGGCAGAAGCACATCTGGACAGGCACGGGAGCAGAACCAGTAACTCCCTTTCCAAGATTAGGCAGCCCTTGCTCCTCTGGCACCCCTCAGGGGGTCAGGACTCTGCTTCGATTTCCACCGCAGCACAAGCCGCTGCTCTCAGCCACCCCTGCAGTTGTATTTCTCCTTCAGACAGCGAGGAAGGGGAGGAGGTTAACATTTACTGAATTTGGGGCATGAGTTGTCAGCACAGCTGCAGCGCTAAGTGGTTGCATGTGCAGGAAAATCCTTCTGCCTATCGCAGGGATTTGCAGTCCTCTGCTCCTTTCTCACGAGGGCCGCAGCGCTTCTGGAGTGCTCCATAGGTGGGAGGCAGCGGCTGAGCAACTGCGTTCCTGTTCTGACTCATGCCAGATGGGGTGACACTCCCGATTTCTTTCGCCTTTTGCACCAGTCTTTACGTTTGTAAATGAGCTGCTCTCATTTGTGATTAACCTACAAACTCTTGCCAGATGGGGTAGTTTGAACTTGAATAACCATCTGCAGTTTGGGGCAATGCATGAGGTTTTCCAAGGCACCAATGCACTAGACAAGTATTTTTGGTGTATTTGTCCTTGGCCTGACCTCTCAGGTTTCTATACCTCTCTGCAGTTATCATTCCTGCAAACAGCTTAAGACTCAGGTAAATATTTGTCAGCTGGGAAATGGCAGACACTGGCCTAATACCTGAATGGTATGCGCTGGCTGCTCCCTTGGACAAACCCGGCTGTGCAAGTGCTCCTCCTCAGCTCTTCTCTTCCAGCACAGAGCACAGAAGCTTAGCTCCAGTCACTGCAGAACAGGACAAGGAGGCCAATCCTCACTGGCATGTCCTATGGATGCCCTTTTTGATTTTCCTCATTACCCTGGGCATCATTCCTGAAAACCCCCTAAAACTAGATTTTGGAGTAATTATTAGTCCAAACTAAAAATTTCAATTATTTAATCAATTTTTTTTTTAGTCAAACTTCAATAAGCCATCTCTTTCCTGAAAGGGAAAAACCCTTATTTTCTACAAATACTTATCATCTTTATTATTGTTTTGTATTTGTCAAATAAGAAGCTTTGTGATTTTTTTTTTTTTTTTCTGATTAGCTACTTTTTGGTTTACATTTTAGGAATAACCTGTAAGTAAATTCAGAAGTCTAATAAGGATTTCTTCCATGACTGTACATTGAACATGAGATCCCACAGCTGATACTGTATTGAAGTTCATTCACAATGCTATGCCCAAGAAAAATACAGCCCTTTGCAGGATTTCAAGGCAAGATGCACTTTTGATCTGGCACAATAGAGCCTTGTGTACGTAAGTTTCACCTGTTATACAGAAAAAGTTCTTGATTAACAGATGAAATTGATATATTATCTGCCTGTTTCTCAATAAAGGGACAGATTTTAACATAATTTGCTGTTATGTTAAGTGACATTGGACTGAGTCTCTGTGAAAATGTGCTGTGTTCAGTGGCCTTCACATTTCACATCTCATGTACAAAATGGTCTAATGTTACTGGTTTGGAAGGGAAAAATATCAGTGGACACTGGTCAGCAAGTTCTTTCAGCTAAGTGGGAGAAGACAGCTGCAGAGGGTATGGATAATGTAAGATATAATGGTTTTAAACTCAGAGTTATTAAATGGGGTCTTGTTTATGAGGTTGTGAGTGAAGATAATTATCGACTGATGGCTCTATATTTTAATATATGAACCGAGTTTGGTCTGGTTTGTACCAGCTGTATTTCCATAAAATATCACAAACTTGCAACAAGCACATTTTCTTGCTTTCTCTATAACTGGGCAGCAACAGATGAAACTCTAACACTGACGGTGGTGTCTGAAGCCTTCACACCAACACATGATGATGGAGTGTCTCCCCCCAGGCAGCTCTGAGGAGGGAGACTGCGCCTTCTTGCCCTGCTAACTTCGTTCCTGGTGGGACAAGAAAATTTTCATGGAGTGGAAATGAAATTAGCCCACTCCCCTTTAAATGAGATCCCTTTGTTTCAGGTTTCCAGACTGGTGATCACAGCTAAGCACCAGGCTAGTGCTCACAAAGGTGTCCTGCTCAGGCTACCAGTCTGCCGCTGTCACAAATCCTGAATGCACATGAGAAGGTAAAGACAAAAGTTTCCTTAATGGACCTCTTTGTTCTCATCAACATTATCAGTGAGTATTCACCTGTTCTTTTTCTCTGTAATGTAGATGTTAGTACTTGAAGTAGAGGAAGTTTCCTGATTTTTTTATATTTTAAATTTTTTTTTTTTTTTTTTTTCCCATGTGAATTCCTCAGAAGAACTCCAGGTTTTAAATGCCACAGCAACAGCTGATTACCCTCTCTCTACTGCTGTAGAAAGCAACGAGATTCTCCTTCTCCCTGACTTATGCCTTTAGCTTCCTTACTCGCTTCCCTGGGGAGCTGCAGGTGACCAGACCTTAATTATTCCCAAAGAGAAACCTGAGGGGCTGAGCTGGCCAGGGGCGAGCAGAGAGCCCACTGTCACCACTCCCCATGCCTCTCAGTCAGAGCTGTGACACCTGTGGTTGCCAGTGTTCCTCCAAGGCAAGGCACTTATCCAGTGGCATCATTCCAGCAGTGCTGAAGTGTACGTGCTCTATATTTTCATGCAATACCCGCAAGTGTGAGTAAGTGAGGCAAACCAAGAATAGCTGTGCTTACTACTCAGAGGCACACTATAAAGTGTCCAGTAATAAATATTACATATAGCAAATTCCAGTTTGCTATTACTTTATCTATTCTGTACGTGAATGCAGACCTGTTTCTAACGCTACTCATATTGTCCGTTGTGGACTGCCAAAGGCATTAGCAATTTTGCACTATAAAATCTACAGAGCAAGCTAAATAGCCAATGTTTTTAAGCTGAGCATTTAGGGATTTCATAAAGTGCACCAACTTATTGAAAATTTTCTGGAAGGAAAACTCTCCAATGTCAAAGAAATGCAGAGCTGAGCCTAGGGGGTTTTTGTGTATATAGCTCCACTTTTATTTTTTCTCCATCAAACTAGAATAATGACTCATTATTTTAGATTATTTCCACTTAATTCAAGGAACAGTACAGAGGGATTGCCCTTACAGAGTTTCTAAACTTTCTAGTTTAACAAATGCTTTCTGTAGCGAGTATAACCCACTTTCAATTATCACTCATCAAGAGCCTCTTATAGTCTCCATCTTAACGAATCACGTTATGAATTACAAGGTCATCTTTGCAGGTTCAGTCCCTAGGCACAACCAAGGTTACTGTTTTTTTTAAAACATTTCAAATAGAAAAAAACTTGAGGTCTGATTTAGTTCAATATAAATCCACTTTGATATAAGTGAGAAAAAAAACAGTGAAAATTAGTCTAAATTTTCTAAATCATCAGAACAGATGAGAAACTGTAATTTTGATCTTACTAAATCATTCAAAGATAACAGCATTTATCCAGGTTGCAGAAGACCTGTTTCACACCTATTTTCTGTATTAATCAGAAGAACAAATCTATACCACAGTCTCTCACTTTGCAGTTGAACAAGTTAATCAGTACACTGCAGGATATTCCAAGAAACATTACCCTCATCACTGCTAGTTGGAACCACTGTACCAAGATAGATAATTAGGTATTAGAAACTCGTCATAATCGAGAGCAAGAACAGAAGATCAAGGATGCCTGGTGACAAAGGGTCCTGGGGCAGTGGGTGATGTGAATTCAGTCATCTTGGAGAAAAGGTTTGCACTTGAGCATCCTGACATTCTGGATTAATTTGCAAGCCTCAGAGCTGCCGATCTAATAGAGAATATAGGTCTAGCAGTGACATGTTTCATTTTTATACCTGACCCGACTTGACAGACTCCACCCGGATTCACAGGTAGTATTTTGAGGAAAAGCAAAACCACAGTTTTTATTTCATAGCTTGCTCTGTGAAAAACGAATCTCCCTCTTCTGCTGAAGCACTAAGGCTTCACATCCAGAAATCCTCATACCCATTTCTAGCTCACAGCTGGTTTATTGGGCCTGCCTTGCATCTCTGGCATCCTTCTATTCTGGTACTTCTGCCCTGAGATTAGCACAATGAAAACTGGGCACGCCTGCAGGGCACAATGCTCTAGTGTTTGTGCACAGAACTGCTGGGTTATCGATAACCGCTGCTCTGAGAGGGATTACTGGGGAGTCATTTGAGGGCCTTCCAGTCTGTCTTCACTTTTTCCCTTTTTGTGCTGTATTCTCCTCACATCTGTCTGCAGTTTGCTATTTCTCCCCTCATAGCCACCTGGTTACATACTCTCTACCATAACCAATTTCTGATATGTGGGCTGTTTAAACTCCCACAAACAAACGTAGTTATTGCAGCTTGCCAAGCACTGTGGTTGGGAAAGAGCCTGGCTCTTAGAGGACCTGGGTGTACTACCTACTCTCTACACTCTCTTTTATTAACACAGTCTCTTTTATTAATGTGGAACTTCCTATGGAATTACCATGTAATTATCACATCTAATGTTATCATGTACAACATTGTTTTATAGATCAACCTGCTTAGACAACACACAAATCACACTGAAACATGCTATGGCAACACCACCATGCAAAATATAGGGGTTTTTGTTTCAAACGTTGGGATAGTTTCCTTTGTGGCTGTTTATTTACTTTTTAGTGTCCTTTACTGACTTTGTCCCATTGAATCCAAAATTCTTCCTGATTACAGTGGATTCAAAGCATATTACAGGAAGCCTTTACCTATAAGAAAGTAGTTAAAGAATTACAGTTTTGTTTTAACATGTGAGATATTCCCACAGCCTCATAAAACTTTGTTCTTTCACTCTGTTTCTTTTTGATTACTAGAAAGTAGATATATATTTATGTTTTAAATACTTCAGGAAATACTCTTGAGCCTCATTATACAGGAGGCAGTTTCTGAGAACTGCTTCTCCTTACCTAGAAACTAGAAAACAAAAACCATGATCTTTGCTGAAAGCTCTCATATTTTTCATTTCAACGCACACAGCTCCACTAACCAGGTCACAGAAAAAGCCACGGACACACACACGCACACACACACAGCAGCGTCACCTGCACAATTCAACAGACAATGCAGACAAACTTGAGTATAATCCAAGATCTTTCTACCTCTTTTCATAACAGGTTAGTGCTCGCCCTCAGTGTTGGTGTACAGTTTTTATGGCATGGGAAAATAGGGATGTTTCTGCCCTACAAAAATAAATGCGTTGAATGCTTTAGTTTGAACTTTCACAATGTTAAAAAAAAAAATCCAAAGAAACTGGATAAGTAAAAAGAATCCCACATATCAGGAAATCAGTGGATCTTTTGGCAGGTGGCAAGAGAATGCCCACAGCAAATTTACCAGCCTTCATTTCTTTACCTTCATGAAATAGCTTTTGAAAATTATATATTAAAAAAAAAAAAAATCAGTTCTTGTAGTCCATCACCAAAATGAAATCCCAATCAAACCCTTGCGCATCATCAGCATGAATTCTTTGGTCCTGAAGAAGCTGTGCTAGACATTAAGGAAGATAGGGAAATTATTATTGTTTTTATTTTTCCCTGTGCCCAATTAAAAAAAAAAAAATGGGACTAATTATTTTTTAGTAAAATAAAATGGAGACAGGATGGAAATCCAATGTATTCAAACTGTGTTAGACTTATTATTTTGGGAGGCACCAGAAGAAGGAACAACATCAAGCAAGTTTTCACAGATTCTTTACTACAATTAAAAAAAAAAAAAGAAAAAAAAAAAAAAAGTGACTAATTTCATGCTTCCTAATGCAAAAAGCATGGCTCCCAAAGGTCCGTTCCTCCATGTGTGACTACTAAGGTCAGTGGGAAAGGGAACTAGGGAGGAGGGGTTGTAATGAAAGCATGTTATAACGCTGTCATTTCTAGGAAAATTCACAAACTGTGATGAATACAGTTTTAACTGTCAAGTTAGAGAAGCGAAAAGGGAAAGTAGGGATCAGTGAGGGAGAGGGGAGAAGGATGTCCCATCAGGTTTACTAGTCTTCCGAGGCAACAAACTTACCACATTGCGTGTGAATTTCTCAAAAGATGTTCGACGATCCAGAGTGTTTTCCAACTTAAATTTAAAATAAAAAAAAAAAAAAAAAAAAAAAGAAACAAAAAGGAGGGGAAAAAGAAAAGCAAGAAAAAATGGAGTAGAAAAGAAGGATCGATGAAACAATGGACTGCAAAACAAAGTTTGTATAAATCAGGAAGCAAACACAGGTGTGAAGCTGTAATGGGACTCTGCAAAACAGGGGATGGGCAAAGCAGATATAGTATTCGACAAAAATAATTTTTCATGGGGATCAAACTGGTTTGACTTAAAAGAAAAACTGAAAATAAAAAGAAATAATGAAGTGCACATCTTGTGTTAATGAACTGACATTCACAAACTTAAGGACTTCACACAGACAGTTGTAGATTTCTGGTATTTTCAACATCTCTTTCTATATTAGAACTTCAGAAATCAGTGTTTGAACAAAAAACAAAATCACACAGTACTTTCATATAATTTTAGGTTGTCATTATAAACAGTAGAATGCTATGGTGTTAATAACTACCTTGTTCCGGTAATGACTGGGGCCCTGGTTTTGCAAGGTACAGGGCTCCCAGATGAATCTAGGAGATTACTGTTTAGAGCCCACTAATAAAATTATTTATCATTATAGAAATCTGCATTGCCCAGGTGCTCCACATAGTATGGGCTGTGTCTATTCAGAACTCATTCCATAATCTGGGCTTTTCTAAGCAAGTATTACATACCAAGACATGAGCCTCTGCCGAAGTGTGACATGATCAGTCTTTCAAGTCAGATGCCTAGCCTACTCAAAACTATTCATGTAATAATAGGGAAAGAAACAGAATTAGGAAGCCCCTATATTTATAGTTGAAATTAGAAGTTATTCATATGAATAAGATGGTTTCTAAACACATTCGGTAGCTTTTATAGGTGGAATAAAGAGAACAACAATTATTACATAAGCAAACTTGCAAACATGAAAGACTATTCTTCTGGGATTTTATTTTATTTTTTTAATGTATTTGTAAAGCACTTTGCAATTTAAGGTGCTTCATAACAGAGAAAACAGTACAATATGGGATGTAAAAATAAAAATAAGTTTTGCTAGATTAACTTATTGAAACATGCCCGCATGCAGGATATATACACATATATGTATATTGAACTCCTGTGTGTATGTGACCCTCCAAACACGCCAAGCTGGTCACCTACCAGATATCCAGTTGCACTGGCACAGGGGAGAGAAGACTAAGTATTGTTGCAAACATAACCACCGCTTTGCACAGTGGCAAGACAAAGGCAAGATGGACCAATACCTTTTTCTTGGCCTGTAGCAGCTCCTGGTAGGCACTGGATCGTATAAAACGAGGATAAGAATCACTTTTCATCAGTTTGTAAATGTGCTCCTGAAAGGGAAAGAAGGAGCTGTTACTCCCATAAAAGAAGACATATATAAAATAGGAGGCAGTCATATATGTTCTAGTTGTGGAATGTATACCAGCAAGCACTGTTTTGTATAGAAAGTCTTACAGGATTACAGGTTGCAGTTCTGAAGCTAAGGCTGAATTGCTCTCTATTCTTAAAGCAGAAATCCCACCTGTTTTTTTTATGTATAAGGACCACAGAACAGCTTTTTAATTTTTTTTTTATTATTATTTATTTAATCTATAGTCCCTATTTTCACTACAGAATTGTTTTTCTAAGAATTTACAGCTGCTCCTAGCTTAAGGCTCAGTTTCAAACCTCCCTTACATTAGTCAGTCTAGCTAAGTGACTAAATCAGGAGCTGTGGATCCTTCCTCATCAGATTTTCTGGGTTAGTTTCTGGAAATGCTTTTCTGACTTCATAAGCTGGGGAAAGGTACTGGATTTCTAATTCAGCACCACAAATAAGTGCTTAAGTTAGGGAGGATATCCCCTGGCTACTCTTAAAAGCATCCATTGACATGTTCAGTCTGCTATCCAGCTGACAACATAAAAAGGAAAATACATATGCAAATTGAAAAACAGTTCCAGACTAATCTAATTTCCAAGATATTTATTCTTCAGAGGCATATGAAAATTTGGAAACCCTTATCCAGAAAACAAATGACACAGGCAGTTTATAGAGCTTTTCTTTATGCAGCATTCTCATTTCTGTAAAAAATGAAAAACTAAAAATCTATGATGTAGGACATTTTGTAATTCTAACTCTAGTTATAATGTTAGGAAATAGATTTGTAGAAAAAAACACTTGGAGTAGGAAATACTCTCAAAAAATATTTTAAAAAATATCCACTGAATTGTATTAGCTATTTTTGTTTTAACTTTTACTCAAACCCTACCTTTTACTGTAAGAAACTTGTAGCACAGCAATAAGGAAGCAGCAAATAAACTGTAAAGTAAATACTGTTTCTCATCTTGTTACTGCATAAAATTAGTGAATAGAAAAACAAGAAACCACCTTGCTTGAAAATTATGGCAAGGTAAAATAAAAGTGGATTTTTAATTTTTGCTGTATTAGAAACTCTATAAATTATTCTAAGTGCCTTTCACTGTATTTCTTGCAGTAAGTAGAGAAATTCTGATGTATATTCAGAACTTAGGCTTGTTCATTTGAGGAGTTTTTATGCCACTCAGTTTCTGTGAAAGTAGCCAATAGAGAGCAGAAAGGGCACTGCTCCTGTATCAATAGTGATGGGCATTAAAATGTTATTTCTGTGCAAAAAATCAACCCTGCAAAAGCAAGAATAAATTAGTCTGTATTAGTATTGTTAATGCACACATTAGTCAGGAATTGAGGCTGGATGTTATTTAGCACACTCAGTCTATTTTAACTTATGTATCACTCTCATTTGACATGGAGTTCTGTGGTGCCATCTTTCAAGTCCAGCAATGCTTTTCAGAATGCTTGTAACCACAATTAAACGACCTGTTGGCTGCCAGGGTGACTTATAAGCGGTCTCTTTCCCAGCTGGCAGGCCACAAAGAGCCTGCTGCAGAGGCAGAGCCCTGCTCCTGACAAAACCCTGCCACTTCAGGTGGGGCACGTTGTAAAGGTCCTAAAGCTTCAAGTCAGAACACGTACAGTGCAGTCTACCCCCTTTTCCCAGAGAAATGGAGGCTTCCACGTTCAAGTTGTGTGTTGAACTGGATCAAATAAGCAGAGGTCTGACAGCAGGAAAAGTCATTCTTGCATAAAGACTGAATACTCCACATCTTTCATAAATGAAGGGGGGAAAAAAAAAAAAAAAAAAGAGATCTGAAAGTAATATGGTGTTGAAATTTTACACCTATTAAAAAAAAAAAAAAAAAAAGGATACTGGCAAGGAATTTAATTGTCCTTTTCTGACTCAACTGCAAAGACGTATTTTTTAAAGCATTTAATCTTGCTAGATTGTTTATTTGTGTAATTTACAGCTTTGCTATACTCTGCATTCCTAAATCTCCAGGGGGTCAGGAGATGCAAGCAAAAATTGTGTGTTTGGCTTAATGTAGAGTACTTCAAAACAGTGGGTATGATACAGTGTCTAATGAAACTTTATCGTTGCATCATAGGTTGTTATTCTCATAACAGCAAAATGAAAAGGTGGTAGAATTATTCCCCCTCCTATTTAGGGCAGAGGCACTTTCCCAAAAAGTAGAAAGCCCTGATTCAATTTCCTTCTCTCCTTTGTAGGACTTGCAGCACCATCTCTTGACTCCCAAGATGATGACCTAATAATCAAGCTGTAGGAAATTCTGCAGGGATATGATCTCAATCTCTCCTTTTGACACCATTTCACTTTGCATTAATAATTAATTTTTCATCACTGGGCTGCTGATGAAAAAGGGAGGATGGTACTGGTTCTACTAATTTTACTGTGAATCCAGTTATTTTCTATTGCTTTTCTCAGAAGTCTGCAAAGATGAAATGTTAAGTTATAAGTCACATGAAGTGTTGCATTTAATACAGAAGTAATTGGTTTTTCTTCTGAGGAAAACCAAGATTTGTATTTTACCATTTTGTTTTTTTGGTTTGCTTGTTTTGTTTTGTTTTGTTTTGTTTTTTTTAACTTTTACTTCCAATGTCAAAAATAAAAGCATTTTCACAAATCTAGCTCTGGTCAAAAGTATCTTTTGATGATGGTATTCAAACTGTGACTAAATCAGAACCCCAAAATCCAAATAAGACATTTATAGACTGTTCTTTATTGCTGTAATACCAATTATTGAAGAGCAGATCTTTAGGATCTTTGCCCAGTGTTCTTTAGATAGTAGTTTAAGAAGGTATAGAATATACAACGTCCGTGAATGACGATATTTCTGCACAAGCTCTTACAAAATGTTATTTCTCACATGGGTTGTGTTCTTTTCATGATGGGAACCTATGACTCCTATAAATGATAACAACACTTTTGGGCATGCATTGAGAGAACAGACATCGAGCCTATATCAAGGGAAGTCTTTCAGAGAAAGATCTTGAGAACTAGAAATCAAAGTGTGTGTGGGGCAAGCTTTTCTCTTAATGTAACTGAGTAAGAAAATTAAGAAAACAGGAACATGAAAATACATTTTTCACTGCACTATATGCTTTGCTCTACTTGAAGCCCACTTGAAGCCTCTATATCAGACACAGAAGTTTCGTGAAGATCTTTAATAATTCATAGGTCACATGAAAGAAAGAATATTACCTGTTTCATTGCCAAAATGCCAGTTTAGGAAACAGAGCATTACCATCTAATTCCTAAATATATCTTATTTTATGCATATAGATTCCACTAGCCAATATTCTATTTCAAATGTCCCTGAACAAGATTGCAAACTGACCTGAGCATCTTCAAATGTGTATCTTCCAGGGTCCTTTACATTCTGTGTAGTTTTGTCATAACTTTTTGAATCTAGATTGATAGCGCTGGGTGCACCTGGAGCAAGAAATTCTTGCCAGATTTCTTGGACGCGGGCAGGAACTTCACGGATAGGCCTCTTCTTCAGGTCTTCTACTGCTAACCAGAACCTATGGCACAATACAGCATTTTGACTTCCAATTCAGTATAATCTTTAATGAAGTGTTCACAATCTTCTTTGCTCTTAAAAAAAAAAATGAAGTAACTCAAGGCTTAATCTAAAACATGCTAAAATAAGAAACCCCTGTGATTTTATGTTGGGACCAGCATTCAGATATACTGTCTCAGGCAATCAATCCACCTTAAGACGCAAATATTACAAGCCTCTTCATGAGATGGGTGGGAAATCCTTCATTACTTATGTATGGGTAACTTGCTTATGGGAAGGTTTCCATTTAACTGGAATTAAACTGAGATTTCATTTCACCTGAACCACAAGGCTTTTATCACTTATAAACCTAATGCTTTTTGACATTCTTTCAAAAGCTAGTAAGAACTTATGTTCTTGCTATCTACATGAATCTCTCTGAGTCCTGCTAAACTATGAACTGTGTAACTGTAATTTTGTTACAATTACTCCATGAATCATGTATAAACTGGGAAATCATTTGTTTTGCCTGCTATAATTTAATTTCTTTCTTCAGCATTGCATTTCTATGTATATTTTTATCAAAATGTTGAATGGAAGTACCCCTTCTCTCTTCTCTTCTGCTGCAGAGCAAACCAGTACGAGGCAGCCACATACAGTGCAAGCCAGTACATTGTATCCTGCTCACTTAGTCTGGAGCAGGATTACTAAAAAAGTCTTGAGCACTTTTTGATCACAGCTAGATAGCTATAAGCTTTGATATTCACTTTTGATTTGCTATTATGATTGTTTTATCATTATTTCTTCTGTGGGTGTTCAGACTCTCACTGCACAAAATAATTCTATATTCAACTAGGATCCCATGCTTAGACACGGTGGAGACCTCCTAGTTCTCCTCACACAAGAGCTCAATCAAAGTTAGACTCTGTTAAATATGTAATATATACCATCAGAACTCTTCATTATTGTTTTGACAGAGTTGATCCTATGAAACAGATAAGCTGAACTGTGAAACTGTGAAATGTTTGATTTTACAAGGCTGTCAAATAATTTGGGTTCACTTTCAAAATGTGGTTCTACCCTGCTTACACTGTGAGATCAAACTGAGCTCTCTCAGCTTAGTTAAACAGGGATGGGATAGGGGCGAAGAACGGTGGAATTATACTCAGACCCCCCTAGAAAGCAAAAGTACACCACCCTCAATTCAAATTCTAATACAGTTATTGCTAAAACTCTTAAGAGTAAAGCATAGCAAAGAAAACCTGACAGTATTCCTCCTATAAGACATTCTTCACTTGAGGTGATTTACCTTCCAGGAAGCAATTAGTCCTTCATAGTCCTGTTTTGAAACTCCTTTGTGGCACAGATGGAAGGAGCCTGTGCTCATTACTCACAAGCCATTATGGTCAGCTTCACTCTACTGAGATGACTATTTTAGGTATTTCTACACCCTTAAACTTCCATAGTATCTAAGCACAATCTCTCTATTGATCCCTTAAGATTCTCCAAAAGACAGAGAAGTAATATTGTCCCAGCTTCGCAAACATCTTAATAATGTAATAAGGTACAGTGGTTTCTCCAAGGTCACAAAGGGAGTCTGTGCCAACAGAAGAACTTCAGTTTCAAATATTCTGGGTAGCATCACTTATCTTTATGAAATGCAATGTGAATTGAACACAAATCTGCACAGAGCCTGAGGATGTATGCTGAGAATCTGCTGGCAATGCGGCAAGAATAGAGGCTTCATAACTCAAGTTTAAAAACTGCACAGCTTACAAACTCTAATTCAGTTCACTCTGCCAAATTTGGACAACCTACTTTGTTTTCCTTAAACTGCGTTCGATATTTGCATTTAAAAGTGTGTATCCTGCAGTGCTAACCCCTTCAAACGCATCTTCTGGGGCTGACTGATTACTCATGTGTATCGAAGTCAGGTAAGGAATAGAAAAATGAAAGGGAATGATGTTCTTTGTAAACACACATTTTCTGTCACCCTGCAGACATCCTGAGGATCTAGCTCAAAACTGTCACATTCTTGTTTGTTCCATTATATCACTGCCAATACTTCTGGAAGTCACCACAAACATGCCTTAGGATGCTATTTTCTTTTGCAAGTAAACTGTTTCCGCATAGTAGGTTATACTCAGTTACAGGAAAATAGATGGGAGATAAATTTAATTTCTTTGAGGAAACATTCAGCTTCTAGCATAGAATAGGCAGGTTGTATAGATACATCCTTACAGGCTGAACACCAGCTCTTTGACAGATTAATTTTATTTTACTAAATATAGAAATCTCTGTAAAAGTGGGAAGGAAATGCTGATTTCTGTGGTATGTTATGTCTAGAGTGCTTACTTCACAGCCAACACACATTTTAATATTTTAATCTACTTACCGATCTTTCAAGAAAAAATGCCTGCCCTGCTCCCACAGAGAGTTAAAGTCAAATCTGCAAAGTTAGGAAATGCCAAAAATAAGGCTGCTACCTCCTGCATTTTCAAAAATAACTTTTCTGAATATCCCATGGCAACCAATAGCACAGATGAAGTTGAAATGGAGCCTGCAAGACCTCAGCACAGGGCCTCAAATCAAAAGAGCTCCCTGTCCCCTTTTACAGCTCTCTGCCTCATGAGCTGTGACCAGAGGAAGGGAAGACTCCTGTAGCAAACAGCATGCAGTGTGCAACAGTAAATATGTGCAAGGGCAGGAGAGGGGAGAGGGTAACCCAATGGCATTTTCTGGGCAGTGATATACACAGACTTAGTGCTACTTCATGGAAGAAACTAGAGCTCAGTCTCTCTGCCCTTGGATGAAACTCTACCTCCTGCTGGTGGAGGTTTACTTTTGCCATGGAGACCCTCTCTAGAAGATGTTCAGTACCATCAGAAGTGATCCGAGTAGCTGGGTTTAAACCTTGCTTCTGCCTTCTGCAGAGGTATAGCTGAGCGAGAGTGTATAAGCATATGATAAATCCATGACATAGTAAGACACATTGCAAGACATCTGGGGGTTATGTCCTCCAGCTGGATTACTTTCAAAGTGAGAATGGCCTTGCCAGATAAATAGCACAGCTGCAACACAGCTTCCGTCCCATTAACTGACCTAAATGTCAGATGCAGCCATCAGCAGATCCCAGATCAAGCTAATCAGTTAAATTTAGCACATAGGAACACAGAGAATGTGAGAAAGGTTGCAGTGTTTCTTCACAAAATGTGTGAGGTTTAGGCAGAACGTGGAGACAGTAAAGTGGGAATTATGTGGGCTTTATACCCAGTGCACATAATACAACAGGTCAGAGGACAGACCTTTCAGTATTTTCAGCAAAAGCAAACAAAAACCTCCATGGGCAAAATCAGCTAACATTTTCCTAGGAGCAGGAAAGACTACTGTCTGATTCCTAGAGTCCACCTTCTTGCCATGTACAGCTTCAAGCTTCAAGAAATAATAGTGCTTGAAGGTCTTCAAAAAAATGACAGAGAAAATCATTAAATCTTGCAACTAGTTTCTTCTCATCTAATCTGCAGAAATGGCAACATCGCTGGGACTTGGAGTCTGAGCTTGAGTCTGAATGAGAAATAAAGCACAGGCAATTCCAGCCTTGGGGATTAAAGTTTGATCAAGTTATTAGCACCCAAAACGGGGTCTCATAATCAACAGTGCGAAGGGAAAACATTACCAGTGCCCATGCTGTGTGGGAAAGTGTTATTACCAACACTTCTGCTCAGTCTTGCAGGACAGACATCAAGGACAGTTAACCAATCTTCATACTCTGTAACATGCAGAACTCTTTCCTCCACCATCAGTGAAGACAGAAATGTCTTGCGTTTCAAGTCATCAAGAATGGTGATCAGTAATAAAGAGAAAAAAAGTGAAAGTGAAGCAGGCTGGATTAAAAAGAAAACAACCTCCTGCACCATTCTCCCTCTTCTCTAGTAAAACCACTGTTATGGTGTTATTAAAAGAATAACCAGAACCACTGAAGTTAAACATAAAATTAAGCACTATGACTGAAACAGTTTGTAGGCAACTGAAAATTTTTAGTAGTGTATATGTGGGTTTTTATTTATTTTTCCTACAGGACATAATTGAAGCCTTTATCTCCACTACAGAACATTTCTACCGCAACTTAAATGGATGAGTCCAAAATAAACATCTCGCAAAATCTCAGCTTGCAGGGAGATGGTCAGAGAAAATTTATTGAGAGAAAACATCTAAATCTAGCTAACTCCTCAGTCCCTCTCTTCTCTTTCTGCACAACCAAAACTCAAAGTCCCTTTTTCCTATTTTCTCACACATTACGGAAGCTAATAAATGAGGATCAAAGGAAGGGGCAAAGGGTCCAGCAGCTTTTTCCTTCTGTGCATCACGGAAGATGTCCTGTCACCACTCTCCCTTCACTAACCTAGGAGGCTTTTGCAGTCTTAGCACTGCCTTGGAGATCACACCTACTGCAACACGGCGTAATTACTTGGACAGGCTTTCAGACTGGCAGGCCTGAAATCATTTAGATCTTTACAGGCTGCAATTTCTACAAAATAACCACTTGGGAGCAAACTTACAGTCAGCATATGAATATTAAGTTTCTAAAGAATTCTGCAGTACTACAGATAAAGGAAGGATACAGAGAGGAATGGGGATTTTCTACAGAGATGAAAGAAACTAGGTCTGCCCATTAGGTGCTGCATTAGGAAATTAGGTGCCACATTGCAATAAGATTCATGTCACTATCTCACCCTCTTTGAAAAGTCCTTTTTTTGGTGCCTGGACAGCCCTGTGACCGAGCTCAGTACTACCAGTTAGTGCTCAAACTTAAGTCTTGTGAATTTTAAACAATGATCACCATTTTTTTAATAGCCAGTGGGAATCCGATAAATCTATTATGCAAACCGTATGTTACTTTAGCTATTTGTTCTGTGTAGTGAGCAGCAGGCAAAGTGATCCCTTGAAAAAATCTGCATGGTGACAAGAGATTACAAGTCAATGCCTGTGTTAGGTGAATGCAGAATCCAGTCTGAGTGTTAGCAAATGGCAATCGCACTGTAGTGAAGCTACTGCCCTGACAGAAGTGCTTAGACAGTTTTATTCCTTTGCTATACTTTACAACACCCCTTTAGAGAGTAAAATACTATTAATCCCAATTTACAGGCAAAGAAAAAAAGCACAGAGATACAGAATAAGAAGGTGAAACATGACTGCATTCCTAATCATTGCACAGTTCTTAGTTTTAACTCATGGTTCAAGTTTCTTCATTCCTGTTCAGTTCCTTAAAACAGGATCTATATCCACTAAGAATGAGATTCTCAGCCAGCTTAGACACTCTCAGTCCAAGTTAATGAAACAGTAACACTGGGACTTTTAGCTACATAAGATAATCGCACTTGAGTAGAAATGGTGTATCTGGTAGACTTATCATTTCACACTTTTGGTATTTCTTTCACCAAAGTGTGGTATAAGACTCCTAATCAACTAAAACTGAATCTCTCTGTAGTGTCTGCAGTCTCCTGCTCTACCCTGTGTACTGCGCTTGGTGGCTTGAATCCAGGGTCCCAGCTGTCTGTCCCGCCACTGTAGGTTTGAAGGTGCTTGCTGTAAATTTTATCATGATTAGACCTGTAAAAGGAATAGAACCAACTACTGACTTGATTTCATTCTCCTGAAGTGAGAAGATGTGGATGGAAGTAAAACTTTTTCTCAACGTGGCTGTCAAATCCAAAAGAACCACCCCAAACCCCCAAATTGCTACAGTGGGGTTAACAGATGAGCAAAGAAATTGGTGGTCTTTTAAATCTAAGGTTTATTCAGCAGTAATGCTTGAAACCAACAAGCTTCCCAGTTCTGCTACTGAGATCTATAACATTTTGACTCCCATACACAACAAGTTTTCCAAATTCATGCTTTCTAACCTGACTTTACTGTGTGAGCCTAACGGGTATTGATTTCCCTACAGTTTGAGAATTCATAAACATAATTATGAGCTTGTGAGACAGTTTTTCTTCAGTTAATCATCACAGAAAGCAGGAAGTTTGATCCCCTGCCTGATCCTTCCCAGGGACAGCCTTTAAGCTCATATTCACCATCGTTCAGGCATTATGTTTTATAATGCAATATAAGAATCTAGAGAGAGAGACGGAAGAGTAGATGGCATATCAAGAAATCAGCTCTGAACAAATTTCTCTAGGGAATTTTTCTGGATCAGTCACTTGCAGTTTGCTTGTGGTTAGTGTTGTAAATAGGATTAGAAGAAAGAGCTAGGGATTATGTGGGTAACAGTCTAGTTGCCAGAGAGACAAATTAATCACAGAAAGCACAGAAACTGCAGCACACTCTGGGCTGGATTGGTTCATGTTTGAACAGCTGTTATGCATAAGGAATTACCAGGATTGTCTTTAAATAAAAAAAATACCTTTTATTTGCTTAGTATTATTCTGATCTTAAAAATTTCATTTTATGACTTGGAATTTAAAAAAAAAAAAAAATCTCTATCTGTCATTAATGAAGTTATCCACATACACATACAGGTCAGGCCATATTTCCATGGGGTAACGGCAAACAAATCAGTTAGAATAGATTATAAGGTCTAGAGTATCTAATATACGTTTGTGATGCAAAATTCAATGTTTGAATTTGAACATGGTCAGCAATTTAGGAAAGTCCACCTCCAATTATTCTGCTGACAAACTTAAGTTAACAACAAGGAGGTCTGTGCAATTACTCAGCATTCAAGAATCAACACCACAAAATGCTAAATGCCTCTTGTAAGATGCTACATAAATGTAATTCTAGTATGAATGGCTATGCTGCACCACTTCAGAGTGAGAACTGGCATAGAGAAAAAGTAGTTTAGGACTTTTATGAGTTCTAGAATGTGTGCAGATAGGATTTTATACTTCCTACGCTATTGGTGAATGGGAAGTGATACAGATAACATCTGACAAGAAGGTAAAATAAAGAGAAAAATATGTTGCATGTGCTTTTGTATTATGTATAGTTTGATTTATCTGTAGAAAGGCTGTTATTAATCCCTCTGAAATAATTCTTACCAGAATATGACTTCCTTAGAACAGCAACATGATAACATGCTATTAGCCAATGGATGGACTATAATTTTTAAAAATCAAATAACTGTTCTCCCTCACTTAGAAGTAATTCTGTACATATATTAAAAAAAAAAAAAAAAAAACATAAGCTTCATACACTAGCAGCACCTTTCCATTTTGCAATTAGTGAGGAATTTGAGAGCTAGCTGTCACACTACTTCTGTTGTGTTGGATCCATGAGTACTAGAATCTTGGTGGAGATTTTAAAAAGACCAATGATCCTCAGAAATCTGACCAGCAGTGAAAGTCTTTGAATTTTACTGTTCTCATAAAATTTGACTCAATAAAGGATACAGAACAGGCTTTGAATGGGTCAGTGTTTTAAAACTGTTTAATAAAATGAGCTGAGATAAAAGCTCTTATATGGATAGTTTGACCAAAATTTGGACACGAATGGGAAAATATGCTTCTTTTGAGTCTCTGCTAACTATATCTATGTTTCCCTCAGCCTGAATATGGGAGCAGGCAGCAATCGGAATGAATGGATTCTGAAAGGTAAGACACAGGAAAATTTTTGAAGGGGTCAAAAAATGAAAAGAAAGGTATCAGAAAACCCCCCTCCCTGCAATGTACCTTACAAGCTATTAAAAAATAAAGCCCCTCTGATTTACCTTAAATTTTCTGAACTGAATTCTGACTCCAGGAATTTGAGAAACTGCTCTCTTCCCACAGGGTCTTTCAAAGCTTCATCCATGCCAAACCCCCATCGTTTCACTCTCTGCTGCCCTGGCTCTTTGCTACAGAAGAAAAAACAACAGAACCCACAGCAACATTTCAGTATTCTAATAGTCTGTGTTCATTAATTTAGACTAAGTCCTAAAGTTCAACCACACTTTATCACCTTCCAGATTGCTCATATCTGTGCAATGTTCAGCGATGAGCAACCAGGCTGTTAGTACTTACACAAGATGAAGTCGTTTGCACAGAAGAATAAGGACTTCCAACTAGGAAATGTTATCATATTTAAAAAGTTGTCTACTTCTTCCCCTCGCTGGAACCCTGGAAATTGGTTACTATAACTTTTTGCACAGATTTATTAATCCATAGCTCTTCCCATCTTATGAAACTGTAAAGCTGGAAAGACCAAAGGCACTGCCCTTCTGTCTCTGTATTTTCCTGCAATACTTGTGTCTGAAATCTTCACATTTCAAGAGAAGCATCTTATATCCCCTTAACCCAAGAGAAGAAATAAAACTAGATACCTTGCCTCCAGTTCCCAGAAAGTGGTGTCATCTGATATCCAAGGGTTTGAGGGATCAGGGGGCACAAGGAAAGGATCATATTCCAAATACTGCTCTGTATAAGCTAATAGACTAGGAAAACAAAAGCATCAAATATTGTCATGTCAGGAGGTGAAGAAACCTAATCAGGTTACCCCAGTTAACAAGTTACCTTACATCAAGGCAACTGAACCGTGGTAGCTGGGTGTGCACACACTCACAAGTCAGCTACAAGCTCAGGCTAAAATAGGTTTGCTCAAACCTTTTAAAAGGTGATCCCTGAAGAAGGAGTGGCGGCTCAGGTCTTATCAAGAGCTGACATAAAATAAAGTACAAAGTTGCCTAATACTTCACACAGCTCCTTTTAGGGCTCCTTTAGGCACTAAGAAATTAAAACAACCAACCTCTTCCATGCACATTTGCTTTCATAAAGGAACATGTTTTATACCTCTATGGTTTTAATTACCAGTTCCTTTAAAATCTGTTCTAAAACACTGCATGCTATTCGGGTCATATTTATCGGCCCTGCAGCTGCTAAGACTCCTTCTTTCCTCCTTTAAATACAGTTAATATTTTTAATATTTCCTAATCTAATGGCACTAGTCCCAAGTTTATTGCTTTTCAAAAAAGCCCATTTTTTTTTTCCAAATTCTTTGGAATTCATTAAGCGGTCCGACTCAGTTGAACACACTAAAAATTTTGCTTGTATTATGGTAATTTACACCTCCCACGCCCTTATTCCTGCTTTCCGTTTCCTTTTGCCTCACAATTATTGAAAAATTACTGAGAAGTGAGGACAAATATTCTTTTTTTTTCATTCTTATTACATTTAGTCTGTATTCCATTTTTACTGTTCACCAAACACAAATTCTTAGCCTGTTCTCTTTAAAAATATATATTTATGTGTTTGTATGTGTATATACATACACATATCTAAGTAGACACACATGTACAAATGTGTAGGAGAGGATGAAGAACCATTTATATTTGGCTTAATCTCCTTTAGTAAGTCTTATGCAGCTCAATTTTCTGTAACTTTCACCATCTCTGATGTGTAAGGTAGAGCATTCTTTTTCTCTACCTGTTCTCTACTTAAGTTGTAGTCAGTCATTCCGAGGGGCTTTTTGTTTTATTTGCTTTCTAGCTCCTTCCTGACGAATTCTGGTCTTATCTGGAGAAAGATTCTTACTAGCGTTACATCTTCTGACCCAAAGTAAGCTCGGACTCACTTCCTTCAAGCACCAAGCTCCTCACCCAGCCCGGCCAAGCACTTCCCTTGCTTTATCAGTGATTGCCCTTTTGAAATATCAGAACAGTAACCCCAGACCTATTTCCATCTGGTCTTCCTGACAATGCAAGGTGCAACTTGCAACCACTTGGTCAGAGGCTCTTCTAGTGACTCTTGGGTTTATCAGAAGTATATCATGAAATATCTGGGCCATCTTTTACTAATAAAAGAACTTCATACCCCCCCTCCCACAAAGTAAACTCTCACCAGTTATGTCTATGACACCAGAGCTCCCTTGTCTCTCTTTCTTTGAAGCTATTTCATACTGATATTTTCCCAATAGTTATGTCTAATTGAAAAACCAGAAGATGTGAAAATATACTTACCTCTCTGCAACTTTTGACATTTTTAATCTATGTCTGTCTAATTGCATTTGCCAGTGCTTAATCTGCAAGGAAGGAAGGCAAAGAGTTTTATGAGTAATACATTGCTTGACTCGATTTCCATAACCTTTTTATTACAGCTATAATTTAACCTTAATTTATCCTAGGGCACAGAAGAGAAATATATCTGAGTTAAAACATTTCACCAGTGTAGTTCTAAAATAAATGGAATTTTCCGTCAAAGAGAAAAGATCATACAGAGACAAAAAAGGGACCCAATATAACATTTTCCCTAAAGGTTCATCAACAGAAATCCAATTAGCCTTTTTTTAGATTCTTGAAAAGAACTACTAATTCTTCAGACATTTACCTTCTCCCAATTCTAACACCTCGGGAAAGATTAATGAAGCATTAACAGTAGATAAATGTGAGAACCCATACATGTATGCACAGAGACATCCGTATACCCCCAAACCTCAAATCAGTGTTGAAAGGAAGAGTAAGCTGTCTACTGCTGAACGGGCTGATGGGCTTAGCTATGCAAAGAACCTACTGGTTCTTAACTGGCATGCTGCTAATTGCCTTTAACCGTCTAATGCAATATACAAAAAGTGTCAGGTTTTGTCTCATGAGTTTTAATAGAATTTACATACCTAAATCCATATATATCCAAAACAAGGAAAATGTTTACTAAACGTTTGCTAGACCTGTTCTGAACAACTTCCCAGTTACGATAATTTTTGGTTCAATACCTACTTTCCTAAAAAGTTCATTTAATAGTACATGTTTGTAGCTATTTTTCAAACCTCTTGGTGTAGTTCATCTTCTGTGGGTGGCTTAGTCTCTGGTACTGGTGTGTGGGTAGGGCTGTGACTTCGAATGTCGTTTTGTAAGCCATAGACAGACTACACAAAAAAATACGGAACAATGGTAGTTGCTTTCAATCCATGCTTTCTACACATGCCCATAGTCACTGTGATGTTTTAGTACAGTGTGCTCAGGAAGTTAGCCAAGATCATCATTTTTTAAAGAAACTGCAAATAAGCCATGCACTCTGATAAATTCGTGCTTAATTTTACTATGGTGTAAAATAAAAACTTTCAAAACCCTACTATTGCATAACGCCATAGAACACAGCATCTACTTCTATTATGTCTCCGTTTTAACAGCATCATAAACGTGAGGGGGGGGGGATGACACTGAAAGGCAGCTGTCACAGTAAGTGGAGATGACCAGTAGGAAAAGAAGAAACAGTATGTTTAAAGGTAGACTATCAAATTACAGTAATCACTATGCTTTCACTACCATGAACACGATAAACTAAAACTTTCCCTAATTCTGCTTGCCTTTTTAAAGTGTATTTTTCAATGCATTGACACTAAAATATACCTCAAAGGAAGTACTTTAGAGTCAATCTACATTATTATGATACAAAGGATTTGAAAGAAAGTGTTGTTTCAATCCATCTATACATCCCTAGAGAACTTCACTGTTCATGTCTGGATCCTAATTTAGATTAAGCTAATTTCCTCCACAATTTCTGGTCATCTATTTGGGTCATAATTGTAAACTAGAGACACACTTTTCATTAAGACCAGCACAAGAAGAACTGCTGCTACAGTTTACACTGCATTTATAATTTATTTTTCCTTAATTACCAACAGAATCATTTTAACATGCTTTATTCAATCTACTAAAAACATGAACAAAGCACGCAAAAATTAATTTTATTTTTATATTCTCTGTGTATTTCTCCAAAGCCTTTCTTATGCGATAGCATTTACTTAGTATTAGCAAATTTGTTAATACTAATTTGTTTAAGAGCTTATGAAATAATAACATAAGTTCATGTATTTGTTGTCTGCAGATGTAAGAAAAAAAATTCTTTAAGAACCTATGGAACTTCATGCTATAAATTACCTTCACCTCCTGCTCTTGATATAGTAACACTACTTACCTTTCTTGTTTTATGTGGATTTCTCATTCTTGAAGATTTTTTTATATCCACTTCAGTAGTGTTTACACATCCAGGCTATTAAAAGAAAGGAAAGCACAAGGATAAAATATCCAAAGGAACTCTGTACTATTTTCACTGAGGCATTCCTCTTCAGTTTGTAAGGTAAAAAAAATAAATAACCAGAAGCAGATAACAACTTCATGCCCTTCTGCAGTAGTCCCTAAAACCTAAATAACACACTCTAAGGAAGAACCTCAAGGACCATTTCGTCTGGTTTACTGTAAGAGAATCTTTTCCTATTCAGCCTTGTTTGCTGGACCTTATGATGGGGTTTAGGACAAGTTTTACTGTATATCTTTATGCTGAAAGTACTGAAAGCAGTGTACAGAGGAGCAGAAAAGATCCAAATGTATGTTATAAGTCACACTTGCAGCACACACAGGTACTAATTCAAATTAAATTGCTATTGTCAGTATTTAGGAATTCTGGAGTGAGACACTGAAGACCACGTGCTTAGAGTTTATGACATCATGAATTTGAAATAAAAAAAATTCTCATGATAATAGAAATAAATCACATTTTTCTGTTTGGTTTTGCCAAGGAAGCCATACCATGTGCACGAGAAGCATGGTTGACCTGAGACTAAATAAGCAGAATTGTGCAATACTGACCTCACCTGTGAACCCCAGGCTCCCTTCAGGAATATCTGGGTTTGGGTCACTTATTAAAGAGTATATTTTTTTAAAAAAGATTAAAAAGATGCGACAAAATTGGATTTGTTTCCAAGGAAAGGGAAAGGAAAGGGAAAGGGAAAGGGAAAGGAAAGGGAAAGGGAAAGGGAAAGGGAAAGGGAAAGGGAAAGGGAAAGGGAAAGGGAAAGGGAAAGGGAAAGGAAGAAAGAAAAGAAACAAACAAACAAAAAACCACCAGGCTTCAGCAGCCTAACCAGAAAAATGGCAGTCTAAACAAACTGACTTTCAACACATCTGACCTGGCCTTCAAAGATTCATTCTCACAACCCTGTAGCATCCTAAAGGACACAAGTTACCTAAGATTCTCCTAATTCATCTTCCTTTGACGTGTCCCTCTAAGTACAAACCCTGTGCAGAAGTCTGTTCTCTACCCATTCCTGGAAACAACTAATAATGTGTTACACTCTCAGGTGAGTCCTACCCATTGATTTTAGAGGGATTACATTTGCCACTGAGAGTGACTAGTACAAAATCTGCTCTCTACCAGGAGCAGATTTTTAGTGAACGTAGGTTGGGTATTTTCAATGGGAGTGGCTAGATGTAGAATTTACTTGCCAGACTTACTATCACACTAATGACTCTATCTTTGTCTTCTTATCATAATGTAAAATGCTTGATGTGGCTGTAAATCTTCACAGACAAACATTTTAAAAAATTCTTATACAGGCAGAGCCAAGAAACAAATACATTTAATTAAACAGGTCAATGGTACTTTGCCTCTGGAAAATATTTTAAATAACAGACTGATTTTTTAATCCAGTATGATTTTAAAATTAATAAATAAGTTTTTATTTTAAATTAATACATGAATGTGTGCTTGATCATGTTACATTTGCAGTAGAAACAGTTCCTCATCACTAAAAAATAGGCACTTAGGTAATATTCTCAAGACTGCATCTGTCATGCCTATTGAGCTAGATTTGGGAAGGTACACTTTGTGCTTGTGAACAAAAATGGTAATTTTTAAACCCAGAATAACTTGCAACTCTCAAAGACAATGACAGGTTGAAAAATACAAAATTCTGCTTGATGGTCAGTTTAAAGGCAGAAAGCAATTTCACAACGCAGTATACTGAGATATCAAGTTAAAAAGAAAACAATGCATCTACTTTAGGATTATGGCAGCAGCTGGCAGTGAAGAAGACATGGGCTTTTAACAATAGCTACAGCCCTTGAGTATAACCATTTGAATAGCAGGCACACTTACAAAAGGCACAAACTGTTTAGTTTTCAGTTGTGGTTTGTTAAAAGCATGTCCTAAAAATGGAGAGGGAAAAAAAGACAAAACAAACAAACAAACAAAAAAACCCAACAAAAAAACCCCAAACCAAAACAAAAAAAAAGAGCATAATCCTCATCTGAAGCCTCTTATTTTCAAAGACTTCTAGTCCACCAGCAACACACTGGTATGACCAGATCTAGCACCTTGCCCCGGTGCAGATTCATGCAAGGCACACAACAAGAAATACTGGGAGGTTTTCAGGAATGAAACAAGGGTGAATATTTTGTGGGCTGGAAAGAGAGCCCACCGGGCTGACGCGCAGCTGCTGTGGCACACTTCAGCAGGGGCACTGGCGAGAGAGAGGCCGCGAGGGCAGAAGCTGGGCCGCCGTGTGCGATGGAGGGGAAGCCGACAGGAAAGCCGCAACAGGAAGGTGTGGGCAGGGCAGCAAAAGGGAAAGCAGCTACAGGCTGTGTCACTGCTCTGACAACCTGGGGTAACTACGGGAGTTTACGACATGTAACACTACCGCTGTGTAATACTGTTCTCATAATTCGATCTAAGTTGTATCACTGGAAGTACCTGATGTATTTGGGGCCACAATCCATGTTTTCGTCTCAACTGAAGAATATTTATTAAAATTATACTTTATAAGAGATGGGATTTATTGTTTCTCTGGTGCTGCCACCCTTCATCTGTCAGTTTTTAGGACTGTATGTCAAATATCTTTTCAATTAAAACAAATGCAAAAGCTTGCATTATTTGAACATTTTGCTAAAATAACTCAAAGTCTTTGTGGGAAAACCTTTGCTGGTCAACATTTCATTTTATTCGTATGCCCCCATTAACATAATAAGTATGTGTTTGGATACAATTACATCCAGCTGTGTTTTGTTTTTGTGTTGCTTTTTTAACTGGACTACCATAGTTCAACTAGTGAGATGCCTGTCAGAGTGCTCTGCTGCAAGATTCCATTTAGTGTGTAGTATATAATTTGCATACTAATACTGTAAATAGTTTTCAAACAGATTTCCTGGAAGACTTGAAACCTCTTCTGTATGTGTAAATAGAATGTTTACTTCTTTCAGGACTAATATTCTGTATGAAAACAGTTCCCCCTCCACACACACAGAGGAAAGTCTCGTTACCTTGTTGAGATTATCATACAGCAAGATCATAACCATGGTAGAATTTGGCTCTCATCTGTTTTTAAATAGCTGGCTGAAAAACTGTCATACATACAAAGGAAACTTAGTTTCTTTTAATCCATTTGTTAGCATGCCCTTATCTCAAAGTACAAATGCCACTGTATTAATTTACAGCAAAGGACGTGTCAGTCCAGTCACGATAAATTCACTGCTGAGATAAATGGATGAAGATAAGTAAAATAAAAAAACACATATAGAAGATTTCTTAATTCCTACTTCAATTATTTGATAATCGCATTAGAATGAATTCTGAGCAGCACAAATTTCTATTGATGTTGCCTAGGAGGCTGCATAGTAGGATTCTGCCAAGAAACACAGCGGAAGGAGAAAGCCTTCTCTGCAAGGAGAGGAGGTCCAACAACTCCAGGTCCAAGAACTTACATGCCTGGATCTGGCTAAACCCAACATTTGAAAACAACCACCACCTGAGAGTATGTTTAGTTAAAAAACATCCACTTGATATTCATAATCTTTCCCTGATAACTGTGGCAACAGTGAATTAATTGATTAATCCCTTGTAATATTGATACCAGTGAATTAATTTTTTGACACCTGTAGCAACTCTTTGGAAGAATTCACTGTTTACATCAAATAGGATGCTTTACCCATGGTATATTTCCATCCAAATAGTACAGAATATCTAATATTTATAATCTGTTCACTGTACAAAGTTGCACACTCCAAGGGCCCTTTTTATTGCCTGGCCACGTAGCCAAAATCAATTGCTATCGACACCTTTCTGTGTAAAAATCTTTTTGCTATGATGTACTTGTAATTCCAATAAGTGTGAAATCCTAAACAGAAAGTAAATTAATATTTATATTGACATCAGTTTAAGTTTTGATTTTTTTTTTCTTTCCTAAAGAATAAGACAATTTAACTGTGAATCTACTTAAACCAGAATAACCAGAAATTTTCTTGTATCTGAGACAAATACACCCCTGTATGTGGGAGGGAATAAGATCATGCATCGCAACAGGCTGGGAACTGTCTGTCTGTATTGCTGCTCTGTAGAAAATGATCTGAGGGAGAAGCTGAACATGAGTCAGCAGTATGTCCTTGCAGCAATGCAGACAAACTGCATACCCAGCCTCATTAGCAATAGCATAGCCAGGAGGCAAATGAAGTGGTCATTTCTTTCTCCTCGGCATCATGAGGATGCATCTGGAATACCACAACTAGTTTTAGGCCCCACAAACAACACAAGAAATGTATTCAAAGTGGAAGAGTTCAGTGGAGGAACCGACTTTTTTCTGCTTGCAAAAGGGGAGAGCTACCCGTTGTCTTCTGCTGCCTAGAGGGGGCTTGCACACCCAGACCCATTCCAGAGGTGTACTATGAAAGAACGGGAGGCAGCAGTCAAAAACTGAAGTAAAGGAAATTCCAGTTAGCTTAAAGAAATATTCTTCATAATAAAATGAAGAAGTTGCTTAAGAGAGGCTGTGGAATCTCCATGCACAGTGATTTTCAAAGCTTGTTTAACCAACTGCCTAGACAATTTTATTCAATTTATAAGTTACCACTTTGAGCAGAAGGTTGGATTAGAGGACCTCCAGAGGTCCCTCTCAGCCTACATTTCTGTGGTACAGCCTATGATCTTCACAAACTGCAGAGATTGAAATTCAAATAATCCACCTTGCAGAACACTCCAATCAAGTGTTCACAGCAGTGTGAAATTCATCACCCTGCCTCCCCCTCCCCACAACTGCAGAACAGAAAGACAAGACTGGTATTTGCTTCCTTACTATTGCCTCTGCCCACTGGCAGCCTGTGGTGTGTACTCAACCCATACAAACAAACCTGGTGATGATTAAGGAAATGTCATTTCACAGCCCCTTTAGCTAAAAACACATAGGTGCTATTTAAAATAATTACCTCCTTTCAATATGCACA